ATATACTTGTACTTATATATATACTTATTTACGCAATTGTATAAACACTTAATTATGCTAATTACGTTACGGTTAATTTATTTGGCCTGTACCGAGAGCTGTCTTCCTGCGTTTCTCCAGCTTCGACTCGATCATCTCTTGCGTCCTGATGGAGTTGGTTTGCGCTGAGAAATTGATGTAGAGAGGGATGTACTCCGACCGCTCAGCTAATCTGTCCAGCATTTCTCTTGCTATCACTGACTACAATGGACACACATACACATATTAAATAATTAGTATACTCACAATGTCAATCGAAACCACACATCTCTAATAATCTCATTCTCTTGTCGATAATGACTCCGGGAACAACATTAATCATGACATGATAGTGGATAAACTTTGCACATTTTATATTCATTTACCATTATTAGGAGTTTTTCTGGGAACTGTGTCGCTCAGTACAAATCCATAATCATCTCAATCTCTCATCGAAAATTACTCTAGGAACAACATTAATCAAGATATAGTAGAGAAAACTGAAAATTTCATATTAATTTAGGTGTCTCAGGAAAGTTTTACTAGGAGCTGTTTCGCTCAGACATCAATCATGCAATAAGAATCGCAGACACCTGCAGTGGTTACACCTAGGCCTTCTGCCCCCTGTGGGCGATCGGTGGCAACATCATCGAGGCTTCGCACGATAAGTTTGAAGCCTTTGTGCGCAGCCAATTCGAGAATAACCCCGACACTGAGGTGACATCAGAAGCGTATAATGACAAATGTCATTGTCATTTGTCAAAATGACATTTGTCATTCTAGATTACCGAGCGTTTTAGATGTCTATCGTAAAATCTGCGACCTTGATCGTCCTTGATGACGCGCGTAGAAAGCTAACTGACCTTGCCGACGCCGGTGGTGCCGGTGAACAGCACGGATCTGTTGACGGCTAGCAGCTTCTCCATGAGGTAACCGTAGCGCACAGTGTCCATCGTCGGCACCAGCATGTTGAAGAACGGAACGTCCGGGTCGTAGCGGAAGTGTGGCACGATGCGCTCCCACAGCTCCATGCGCTGCGTCTCGTAGTCGACGTAGTAGCTCCACAAGTCGCAGCCCGAGGGCATCTTCATGCAGAGTAAAACGTCGTTAGGTTGTGCGAGATACTATAGCGTTAACGTTTATACGGAGATATTCTAACAATCGTTTGTTAAAATAAAGTAAAATGTCATTTGGTTGTGCGAGCTACTAGCCTTAACCTTTATACAGAGATATTCTAGCAATCGTGTTTTAAAATAAAGTACAATGTCATTTGGTTGTGTGAGCTATGAGTCTTGATGCTTATATAGAGAAATTCTCGCGCTCGTGTTTTGAAATTTCAGGTGTCTGCTCAAACCAAGTACAATTTGAACATGATAAACTACAAGCCATTTTAACCTAAACCAATGCATTATAATACAGCATAATAGACATATGGTCTACTTTATGTGAAACCTGATCACGTCTTCAGATATTAATTATCATGAACGTATGTCTATAGATACATGTGTTCGTGCTAGTAGCACTGTATATCAAAGTTTGGTGCATTGCAAAATCACACCATGCTACACAAGAAGGTAACTACATGGAAGGTTGACTACTAGGAGGACTGTACAGAGGAATCATCAAGGATTCACAGATAGACTTAACAACAGCAATCCAAAATGCAATTGTCACCTTAGCGTCGGGGTTATCCTCGAACTGGCTGCGCACAAAGGCTTCAAACTCCTCGCGCGAAGCCTCGATGATGTTGCCACCGATCGCCCACAGGTGGCAGAAGACGAAGCTCATGCAGACGAGCGTGTGAAGCTTGTGTGAGTCCATCTCCAGGTTAGGTCCGCCCTGTGTGGTGAGAAGCGACTCCAGGAGCGCACACAGGGTCGTCACCTTGCTAATGTCAACCTGTAGCAGAAGGTCAGAAGGTGGAAGAATCCACGTATAGACGTGGCCATGAAGGTTACGCACACTGAGAAGGGTGACTACTTGATGCTTGTGCACTTTATAGTATATATAGTATACACAGTATTTCTTAGTTTTTCGTATGGTCATGCATATTCACCTTGCGATTAACGGCACAATAAAATGCATAACAACACGTGACATTCTCACTGATTACCTGGATTAGATGAGTTAAAAACACATAATAATAATAACAATATATAACACAGTATAAAAATGATGGCCTTTTTGTTTCATGTAATTTTGAAGATAGACTTCAAAGGGCATCGCAAAGAGATATCACTCGACGTCTCGACATTTTCACATGCTTGAGACATGTCGACTCACCTGAGGCATCGCCTGTATGCACCTCTTCTTGATGAAGTGCAACGCCGCCTCAACGTATCTATCGAACAGGTCGAGGATGTAGTCTCGGGTCTCCTTGTTCAGTCTTCGATCCAGCGTGCTAGCCCATGTCTGCACGTAGGGTTTCCACTTCAGTTCATCCGCATCCACGTACACCATGCCACATCTGCAGCCAGGAAGCAACTTAAAAGTCTATAATCTCACTCGTACACGAAAAAGAATATCGCACGTGTTACAGTATCTCAAACGTGTTAAGGTATCTCACACGTGTTAACATATCTGATATATTAAAACGGCTCACTGTCACACGTGTTAAAGTAATTAATGCACGTGTTAAAATGCAGTTAAAATTACATGGACAGATATGCTCAAAATAGCAGCCACGTAATCATAAGCTGCTCCTATCTACAGAGATGTACACCACACTGTCACGTTCATCAATATGTTTAATCAATAAAACAATATAATTTTACCAACACGTTTTAGCTACGGAGCTGGGGGGCATTGACACGTTTACCAACACATTTTAGCTACGGAGATAGAGGCATTGACACGTTTACAAATAAGTTTAATCGTGACCTCGACGATCTAGAACATGTCTGCCTCACGACACGGACACGTACAAGTACGCGACATTGAAATGTCCAGGTGTGCCTGCACGGCAGGTTAACGAGCACGTACCTGCTGACGGTGGCGGGGGACACGTACAGGTGTGCCTGCACGGCAGGTTAACGAGCACGTACCTGCTGACGGTAGCAGGGGACGCCACGGCGAGATCCTGCACCTCGAACAGCATGTGTATGGACGACGAGAGCTTGATGCGCTCGCTGTTGGCGAGACAGAGCATCTTGTTGTCGTCGAGCACAGTGTTCATGTTCTCAATCCACAGCGCGTCCACCGGCCCGTCGCAGATCACCCACTTGTGGTCGTCCGTCACATCCTGAGGAGCAACCGACATTACGTTGACTGACGCAGACGTTACGCAAAGAAGCCATGACAAGTAACACACGTGTGCGCGCTAGGTTGAATTCAGAGAATCTAAGACTTCAGCATATATGGTTTGTATGCGTTTAATTCCAACCACAAAATGAATTGGACAGCAAACAAAGTCGTCACTCAACCATTAGATTCTCCACACAGTACACCTCTTCCACGGACGACGTTAAACCCATCGGTTTGTGTGAGATTATTGTAACATGCGCCATCACGGGCCCAAAAGGTGGCGCCATGTACTTCCCGAAGCCAGTTGCATTCTACGTGGCAGGATGGACTGTGGTGAATTAAATCCTTTGTTCATATTATATACATTACACGTCAGTTCTTCCGTCTTTACTTTAGAAATACAACAGTCCACGGTCGACCGACCGAGACGCATCGATCCGAGACATACCTGGCAGGCGATTCTCACGATCTGAGCGAGGAGCCCATCCTTCCACTCCAGCGTCAGCTTGTTCACTTCCCCGTACAGCTCTCCCATGCTCACCGACTTGGGGTTTAGCACGAAGGTAGTCACGGGCAGATAGTCGGTGCCGGTGATGCCCGCCTTGTGCAGGTTTGTCAGGGTGTCCGCTAGAACCTGGAACGATGAAGTGTGCGAGGGTTTATAGTGAAGGAGGGGGTTGCCCGATTGGGCGAGAGCGAGGGGAAGCCCTGGCATAGGTCGGGGATAGAGAGGGTTTCCACGTAAAAGGGAGGTGACGGAAGAGACCCTGGGATTCGGGTTCTGATTCTGGTTTTTGTGGGCGTCAGGCAGTCATGGTTTTGGTCGACTCGGCGGGTTGAGTGTATCTATGCCGCACTATATATCTATGGAATAAACTTGTCTATAATACACACTACGCCTTGGTTCATCACTACTGGTGACGTTGACAGCAAACCCACCATAATAGAGCCTGGTGAGTGGCGGGCAGGGAATAAACTCACGCAATACTCGGTGGATGGATACTAAAGTTCCACACACTCAGTGGATGGATGGGGTGACTTACCTCATAGCAAGTGGTCTTTCCACCTCCTGTTGGGCCAACCAGCATGACACCGTGACGCACCAACATTGTCTCAAACAGCTGAATCACCTTCTTGATCATGGTCGGTAGAGGCTGAAGACCTTTACCAATCAGTGCATCTACTATGTACTGCTGCAGAGTACCGTAGTCATGCTCGGGCAACACCACCCCTGGGAACAGATCCTGTAATATGTGGGAGGGGGAAATACTGAGTGTCATTATCTGCGGATTAATCGATCTAATTTAAAACTTCTTCAGACATCTGTAAATACATGTATTTGTCCAAGATCCCTATTAAACATCCAATGAATCTCGTTTTTTTATACGAATTCATGTCATTTTGCTTTTTGCAAATTTTTCATTAATGGTTGCTTTTGACGTTTTTTGCCTTAACACAGGTCCGCACCAAAACTGCGACAACGTACTAACAACAGAACAGCATTATACCAATATGATCAATACAGTACATCAACAGAACATCAATAGAACAGCTCAACAGATCTGCATCACCTGTAAGATGGCCTGGAAGAGCACGGCGTCATTGGCAAGGAACTTTGGCAGGTTGCTGTCCCTCAGTGCTCTGATGAGCACCACCTCTTCGCTCTTGTCCGGGTTTTCTCGCTTCAGTGAGCCCGCCATCACCAGCACCGACTTCACGGCTCGCATACCTGCATAACACGTTGTCCACACACGTTACCGACCCTCCCACTGACATATGATTGCTGTGATAATTAACAGAGATGTGCATGACAGGAAACATGGAACGATGGCAATCACAATCATGTGCTCACATCGCACATATCGCAACAACCTATATATGTGTACCTATGTACTTACCGCTGCTACTACTGTAACCGGACGTAATATATATCTACTATATCATATATCCACTCAACCTACCCTATCATGTACTCCACTGTATCAATATATACCTATACCCTCTCACTCACTATCATCTAGTACATGTATCCACCCTGCTATACTCAGTACCCGTATATATTGTCTTATAGGATAGTATAGCTACAGTATATATATATACTGAAGTTAATACATTCGGTATACATGTTCATGATAATATTACTTGTATGGTTCAAAATTCGCCTATTAATTTCAACACACTGAATTATTTCAGCAGCACCGAATTGAATATAGAATGAATAGCCCAATCATCTGACAGGCCCCATCGCGCCAGACACTCAACCGGTGCATTCCTTCACACGTATGTTGTGTCACACGTACAAAGTCGCTCCAGTGGTCCCTCGCCTGCTGCCCACCATGCTGCCACTGCCACGCGACGCTCTCGTCACACCTCGCCCTCCCCTGCCGTCATCCTCTCTCGCACACGACCTCTTGCCGACGCTCGAAAGCCCTCCGACGTACAAAATCACCGCGCCGCCCCCTGCGGCAATCAAGCGCCCTTCGATCGCATAACATGTCAGCCAGTTAATCACCCCGGTAAAAAACTCAAGATTTTAATCTTCTATCAAAAAACTAATAATAATAATAAACTAATAAACACAGCTGCGCCAGCAGCGACCAGCGCTCATCTAACCGTCTACTGCCGTGACTCGGTGGTCGCACGTGCGTGGCATCTCTACCGCTCAAACCTGCCTTAGTCCAACTTGTGTTCACATACACGCAACCGAAATAGTGGAATGCACAGGCGATGCGTATGCACGGAACCTCTCTCACAGATCTTCGCTCTGCGCCGCACTCGCTACTCCGCACCACACTCTGCCCACCGCCCACGACTCCGGCGCGTCCGTTTAAGTGTCTTCAGATTAAGAGATGGAAGCTCCCATCACTACCGTCGTAGCAACACCTCATCTTCGCAAGACAGACATCTACCCCGGTACACGCCCCGGCCAAGCTGTGCGAGTGCCATTTTTTAGCCTACGGCTCGAAGCCTACAGGCTGCAAATTGCAATTGGAGAGCTGCGGCCACCTGTAACATTTAAGGCAGGCAAAAACTGCAGCGCAACACATGCAGTCTGGCAGGCGCCACATGGCAGTGGGACTATACGGTGTCAGTGTAAGCATACTGACAGTACAGGAATGACAGATAGCGAAATTATAGACGATTTATGGAACATACACCTTCTTTAACCCAATTTCAGCTTTTGAAGATTTAGCTGTGAGCATTGTAGCTCATACATCCAGGGCATTAGTATAGATTCTACTAGCAACGGCTAGGCAGTCAAATGTCTTTCTAACAGACAGGTCAGACAAATCCAAGTGTAACCCTCGCTCTTGAGGGTCAAAAGGTTATCCGGACACGTGTAGCTCGTTCGCATCGTCAGCAGAAGGAGACATTTTCATGGTCCTTTCAATAAATGCCATAAAAATGCTAGGATCATCCGCTGAGAAGCGCAAAAAGATTTTTCAAGTCGCTCCGTCAGGACCATTGTCCTCCAGAAAATGCTCTAAAATCTGCCCATGCTGCCACGACCTTTGACCTGTGACCGTCGCATTTCGGCAACAGTGACTGGCTTTCCTACCATGATGCTATGACAGCCGACTTTCACGAGCCTAGGTCGAGCCGTTTAGATTTGGGGCCGAATTCTGCCATTTCGCTCCGCTATTACCGTTAATTAAGGAGTGAATGTTCCCGCTTATCTTTACACCTCTTGGACCTTTGCACGCTGTTGACCTCCCAGCTTCGACATCCCAACTCGTCGTTTTGACGATCCCCCCAGTGTGTCCGAATACTCGTGACCGTACGTCGCAGCGTCGTTAAGATTTGTGCGCCAACTGTTACGGGACGCACGTACCGGACGCGTCGGACGGCGACGTGAACCCCCAGAGGACGGACGGACGCGACGTCGGAACGGACGATCAAGCGATTCTACAAGCATGCGCATCTGCACTATGTCAGATGAGCTAATAATAAGAATAACAGAATGCTGATATATAAATTTTAACATTACCAGGCAGATTCCTTGCCAAAAACATAATAGTGATAGGAAAGAAGTGACAATGCTTGAAAAAACATATCTCACCATAGTCTGGCACCATCATGGCGATTGGTCGAAACAGAGCCTTCAGGTTGTCTGGCAGCTCTGTGCGGCCAGCATAGCCAGGGTTCATGGTGATGAAAGCCGCACAAGACGGAACCAGTCTAATCTCCCTACCCTCAAACACAAACCTAGGAACCTAAAAGGTGCAGAGTAGCAATTTATAACAACTAATGATAAAGGTCAGCAGTGTAACAAGTTATTACCTCGTAACCTCATCGTAACCTTGTGAATATTAGTCTTCAAAGTACAAGGGACTAAATCGAAGATTAACATCGAAGTTATTAATGTCTTTCCGATGGGGAATTATGATGCAATTCGCTATAGCAACAGAGGACACCACCATCCAAGAAGCCAGATGCATCATGGCTACTACTCTGATATTACTACCAGTTGTTGCCATTGCTACTGCTGTCGTTACTAATCACTAACCACACTGTTACTGGTAGCATTGCTAACCACTATCAACATTGCTAGAAATATTACTACATACTAACACTGCTGTTGCTGGTAGCATTGCTACCCATTATCAACGTTGCTAGGAATATTACTACATACTAACACTGCTGTTGCTGGTAGCATTGCTACCCATTAACGCAGCCAGCATTCTAATAGGCAGCCAGCATCTATAGGCAGCCAGCATTCTATAGCGCCAGCATTCTATACAGGCAAAGCATTCTATGGACAGCCCAGCATTCTATAGCAGCAGCATTCTATAGGCAGCAAGTTATTCTATGCAGCCAGCATTCTATAGCAGCCAGCATTCTATAGCAGCCAGCATTCTATAGCAGCAAGCATTCTATGGCAGCCAGCATTCTATAGCAGCCAGCATTCTATAGCAGCTCAGCATTCTATAGCAGCGAAAGTATCTATGGGCCAGCCAGCATTTCTATAGCAGGCCAGCAATTCTAATAGCAGCCAGCATTCCTATAGCAGCCCAGCATTTCATAGCGAGCAAGTATCTAGTGGCAAGCCAGCAATTCCATAGCAGGCCAGCATTCTAGCAGCAGCCAGCAGTCTACAGCAGCCAGCAGTCTATAGCAGCCAGCGATCTATAGGAAGCCCATGCAATTCTATAGCAGCCAGCATTCTATAGCAGCCAGCATTCTATAGCAGCAAGTATTCTATGGCAGCCAGCATTCTATAGCAGCCATCTTCATGTTCTACAGCAAGTCGCCAGCATTCTATAGCAGCCAGCCATTCTATAGCAGCCAGCATTCTATCGCAGGCCAGCCATTCTAATAGGCAGCAAGTATCTATGGCAGCCAGCATCTATAGCAGTCCAGCATTCACTACAGCAGCCAGCATTCTAACAGCAGCCAGCATTCTATCGCAGCCAGCATTCCTATAGCAGCAAGTCATTCTATACAGCCAGCATTCTACAGCAGCAGCAATTCTATAGCAGCCAGCATTCTAATATGCAGCCAGCATTCTATAGCAGCCAGCATTCTATAGCAGCAAGTATTCTATGGCAGCCAGCATTCTATAGCAGCCAGCATTCTACAGCAGCCAGCATTCTACAGCAGCCAGCATTCTATAGCAGCCAGCATTCTATAGCACCAGCAATCTTAATAGCAAGGCAATATTCTATAAGCAGCCAGCATTCTATAGCAGCCAGCATCTATACAGCCAGCATTTTATAGCAGCCAGCATTTCTAGTAGCACCAGCATTCTATACGCAGGCCAGCATTTCTATAGCAAGCCAGCATCTATACCAAGCAAGCATTCTATGGCAGCCAGCATTCTATAGCAGCCAGCATTCTATAGCAGCCAGCATTCTATAGCAGCCAGCATTCTATAGCAGCCAGCATCTATAAGCAGCCAGCATTCTATAGCAGCCAGCATTCTATAGCAGCCGCATTCTATGGCAGCCAGCATTCTATAGCAGCCAGCATTCTAATAGCACCAGCATTCTAGGCTGCCAGCATTCTATAGCAGCCAGCATTCTATGGGCTGCCAGCATTCTTATAGGCAGCCAGCATTCCTTTAAAATAGCAGCCAGCATTCCCCTGTATCTTCATCATCGTTAATTCACTTCAATGCTTCTAATCGCAGATCATGGGTCAGTTTTTTCGCCGGACTAGCTCAGAGAGTGGTGCCTGGTGCTGTTTCGACGAGTTTAACAGGATAGACATAGAAGTACTGTCTGTGATTGCCCAGCAACTGCTCACGATTCGCAATGCCAAGCTCAATAAGGTTTGCTTGCTACGCGCCGGAATCACCCTAAACACGTATAGCAACGTTGATATAGTGAATAGCAATGCCAAGCTCAATAAGGTTTGCTTGCTACGCGCTGGAATCACCCTAAAACAGCGTATAGCAATGGTGTTTGATATAGTGAATAGCAATGCCAAGCTCAATAAGGTTTGCTTGCTACGCGCTGGAATCACCCTTAACACGTCTAGCAACGTTGATATAGTGAATAGCAATGCCAAGCTCAATAAGGTTTGCTTGCATACCGCTGGAAATCACCCTTAACACGTCTCAACGTTGATATAGGAATAGTGCAAATGACCAAGCTCCATAAGGTTTGCTTGCTATGCGCTTGGAATCACCCTTAACAACGTAATAGCAACGTTGATAATGGGTAGCAATGCAAGCCAATAAGGTTTGCAACAGCTTGCTAACGCGCTGGAATCACCCTTAAACGTCATAGCAACGCGTTGAGATAGGTGAATACAAATGCCTAGCTCATAAGGTTTGCATTCTATGACCTGGAATTCACCCTTAACGTATACAACGTTGAAATTGGGTAGCACTGGCTACAACACAGCAGTGTTAGTACTGTAGTAATATTTCTAGCAATGTTGATTAGTGTTAGCAAATCTACCAGTGAACAGTGTGGTAGTGATTATAACGACAGGCCAGTAGCAATGCAACAACCTGGGTAGTAATATTCAAGAGTAGTAGCCAATGATGGCATCGGCTTCTTGATAATGGTGGTGTCCTCTGTGCTAAGCGATATTGGCATCATAAATTCCCCATCGGAGAAGTACATTAATAACTTCGAGTCAGTCTTCGATTTAGTCCTTGGACTTTGAAGACTAATATTCACAAGTTACGATTAAGGTTACGGGGTAAATAACTGGTTACAGCTGCTGACCTTTATCATTTAGTTGTTATAGTAATTGCTACTCTGCAGACCTTTTAGGTTCCTAGGTTTGGTGTTTGAGGGTAGGGAGATTAGACTGGTTCCGCTCTTGTGCAGCTCATAACACATGAACCCTGGCTATCCGGCCGCACCAGAGCCTGCCAGAACAACCCTGAAGGCTTCTGTTTCGCCAAGATCGCCATGATGGTGCCAGACTACATGGTGCGATATGTTTTTTCAAGCATTGTCACTTCTTCCTATCACTAATTAGTTTTGGCAAGATCTGCTGTAAATGTTAAAATTATATATCCGCATCTGTTATCTTATTATTAGCTCATCTGACATAGTCAGATGCAGCTTTGTAGAATCGGCTTGATTCGTCCCCGTGCCGAGCGTCCCGTCCGTCCGTCCGTGCCGTGACCGAGCGTCGTGCCGTGCGCCGCAACAGTGGGGCAACGAAATCTTAACCGCTCGACGTAACGGTCCACGAATTCGCACATTGGGGGGATCGTCAAACGAGTTGGGAATGTTCGAAGGCGGGGCGATAGGCAAAGTCAAGAGTGTAAAAATAAGGGGAACATCAACATGTCCTTAACGTAAGGTATAGGGAGGAAATGCAGAAATTGCGGCACAAATCTAAACGGGCTCGACCTAAGGCGTCGTGATAGCGGTGTATAGCATCATGGTAGAAAGCCATCACTGTGCCGAAATTGGAGGTCACAGGTCAAAGGTCAGTGGGCACAGGGCAGATTTAGACATTTTCGAGGACATGGTCTGACGGAGGCGATTGAAAACTTTTTTGTTTCAGGGACCTAGCATTTTTATGGCTTATTGAAAGGCCATTGAAATGTCCCTTCTTGCTGACATGCGAAAAGAGTAAGTGGTCGGATAAATTTTTGACCCTCAAGAGGAGGGTTAAACTTGGATTGTTGACTGTCTGTTAGAAAGAATTTGACTGCCTAGTTTGCTAGTAGAATCTGATACACTGCCTGGATGTATGAGGCTACAATGTCACAGTGAAAATTTCAAAAGCTAAAATTGGTTAAGAAGGTGTATTTGTTCCAATAAATTCGTATAATTTCTATGCTCATTCTGTAACTGTCAAGTAGTTAACATGTAACGTATGGCCACTGCCAGTGGCATGCTGCCAGTGCATGGGTTGGTGCTTTTTGCCTGCCTTAATTGGTTACAGGGTGGCAGCTCTCTCATTGCAATTTGCAGCCTGGTAGGCTTGCGTAGGTAAAATGGATGAGTGCTTACCCTATTCTGTCTTGCAAATAGTGTGTGCTAACGACGTATGAAGAGCTTCCATCTTTCATCTGAAGACAAACTTAACGTACGCGCCACTCGTGGCAACTTCATAACGATCCCAACGAACATTCTTTGAGAAAGGTTCCCTGATACATCCCTGTGCAATTCCACTATTTTCGGGCGTTATGTGAACACAAGGACTAAGCAGGGTGTACTAGGAATCCCACCACTCCAGCCACCGAGTCACCGCAGTAGACGTTAGGATGAGAGCTGATCAGCTCTGCGGCATCTTGTTTATTAGTTTATTATTATTATTATTTTGATAGAAAGATTTAAATCTTGGTTTTTACCGGTATTAAGCTTCTGACATGTTGATGCATCAGGCCTGATATGCCGGCTTGATTTTTGTACTCGAGGTTTCGAGTCGCCAAAGATTCTTGCGAGGAAAGATGACGCAGATGGTACAAAGCCTGCAGTGAGCAGGTTGTCACAGCAGGACCACCTAACGACATTTTGTACTGTGAACAGCACATACTGTAAGAATGACCTTGACTTCTGGCTCGATGCCTGTCAGGATGAATTGGGCAGTCGATTTCTAATTAATTCAGTGTGTGAAATTAATTCAGTGTGGGAAAATTAATAGGGATTGAACATACAATTAATATTATCAATGAACATGATACCGAATGTATAACTTCAGTATATAATCTATATGTATATATATATATATAGATATATAGTCTATAGACATATATCATGTATATATATATATATATATATATATATACATAACATGTAATATAATATATATAATATATATATCTAACATATACATATACATATACACATATATTTTTTCATAATGTCATTACACATGATTTATTGCCATCGTTCCATGTTTCCTGTGATGCACATCTCTGTTAATTATCAGGCAGCAATCATATGTCAGTGGGGAGGGTCGGTAACGTTGTTGTGGACCACGTGTTTATGCAGGGTATGCGAGCCGTGAAATCGGTGCTTGGTGATGGCGGGCTACTGAAGCGAGAAACCCGGACAAGCAGCGAAGGAAGGTGGTGCTCATCAGAGCACTGAGGACAGCAACCCTGCCCAAGTTCTTAGCCATGACGCCGGTGCTCCAGGCCATCTTAACCAGGTGAAGCAATCTGCTGAGGCTGTTCTAATTTGATGTTTCTGTTGATGCGTACTGTATTGATCAATATTGGTATAATGCCTGTCTGTTGCTTAGTACGTTGTCGCAGTTAGTTTTGGTGGCGACCTGTGTTAAGGCCAAAAAAAAACGTCAAAAGCAACCATTAATTGAAAAATTTTGCAAAAAAGGCAATGACATGAATTCGTATAAAAAAAAAACGAGTATCATTGATGTAATATTAGGGATCTTGCAATATACATTATTTACAGATGTCCTGAAGAGTTTTAAAATAGATCGATAATGCCGCAGATAATGAACTCAGTATTTCCCCCCTCCCGCACATATTACAGGATCTGTTCCAGGTGGTTGTTGCCCGGAAGCACTGACTACGGTACGCTGCAGCAGTACATTAGTAGATGCACTGATTGGTAAAGGTCTCAGCCTCTACCGACCATGATCAGAAGGTGAATTCAGCTGTTTGAGACCCAATGCTGTAACTCACGGTGTCCATGCTGTTGGCCCAACCAGGAGGTGGAAAGACCACT